TGTTAGAACTCAATGATTATCCTAATTATATTTTAGATTTTTTATATTTAAAATGAGATGTTTATCTTGTATTTGATTGTGTTTATCAACAGTTAGTTACACGAATTCAATTATGGGATGAAATCAGATAGGGATGAAATCGTTTACCGATGAACGGGTTTAAGAGTTTTAAGAGTTTAAGAGTTTTTAAGAGTTTTAGCCAAATGCTTTATAATATAGTATAGATTAATTTGATACTGATATCGATATATATATTTTTTTAAAATTTTATAATTTTTCAAATTTATATTTTAATCAAAAATAAAAACATTATCGCTTTCTCAAAACCATATAAAACTGTATTATATCAACATAAAAAAATAAAATAAAACAAAATACTGAAATCAAGACGTGTCTTAATGCATTGCACATATATCCTTCTAATGGTGATAAAAACACGAGGACCAAAATCATAGTTTACTCTTACTTAAATGATAGTAAATTTAGTCCATAACTTCATTTATCATATAGATGACTCGGTGGTATACACTTTTTAACATTTTTGGTCCCTAGACCAAACAACCATCCACCAGCCTCCGTTAACTTGAGGGTATTTGCGTCTTTTTGACATATTCCCTATTTGAACATTAATTTTTTTTTGCCTTTTTAATGTTTTGAATTTTAATGTTTTTGTGTTCTTCTTAATTTATCATATTTTAATATTACATTTTATATTAAATTATAATCATATCACATATTATGTATATATATACACACAAATATTATATATTGGGGATATTCTTTTGAGAACTCTCTAAGATGTTTGAGAACCGGTGTGTCATATGTTATCTCATATGAATTTTTGTTTCATATATGGTTATAATTCAATATAGTAATTGACATATATTTGTTTCATAAAGTGTTTCTTTCACATGTACTCAGTTCATAATGTGAACTTTTTTGGTGTGTTTGTGAAACAAAAAGTACACGTAGAAAAGTTTCACATTGTGAATCGAATACATATAAAATAAACTTAATCAATACATTAAATACATACTTAGATGTAGAAAAAATATGTGAAACAAAACCTTAAGATAGAAGTTCTCACGGATCTCACCAATTTGGGAGTTCTCAAATGATTAAACCCTTATTATATATGTATACACACAGACAGAAGAACAACCATTATTTACATTTCCTCCGTTCTAACATTCACCACGATTTTAGCCCTCTATCTCCCTTCCAAACCACACACACCGATCGTTCCAACTCCTTCTCCGAAGAAAAACACCATCCACCCTCTCATCACTCAACATATCAACCATTGGAAAAACCCTAATCCCTGACCTCTCATCTAAGCGTTGCATGATTATGAAGATCACAAAGAAGATGGTGCAAAAATGGGAGTACTTGAGGTCATTGCCTTGTTGGGGTTGGATTTTACACATCAAGAACATAAATTTTGATTTCAACGGATTTCACTATTAAGGTTTTGATTTTATATGAGTTTGATTTAGGAATATGAGCATTAGAGATTTGACATGCTATAGATTTTGTATGTCATTTTTGAGAATTTATGCATATTTTTTTGTTTAAGGCAGTAGTGATGGAGAAATGGCGTCGGAGATTTTTAGAACAGAGGTGGGTAGGGTGGTAGGCCGACGAGAGGTGAGAGGGAGAGGAAAGGGTTTCTTTTTCCTTTACAATTCTTATGCCATGTGGCATCATCTAATTGGTACTTAAAAGAGATAAAAAGACAAAAATGCTAAAACAGATAAACCATTTAATATTAAAATGAAAAAAAAATAAAAAGACGGGAATACCCTTGAGGTTAATGAAGAAAATTGATGTTCATTTTTGCTTCAGGAAGCAAATTCGTGAAAAAAAGTGCATATCATCAGGTTATTTACATGATAAATGAAGTCTAAGAACCAGTTTTATAAAAATCCATATATCACAGTGACTAAATCTGTAATTTAGGGCTGTTTGTTTACCTCTTAATAGTTCAATTAAGATGATCGTTAAAAGGTGAATCTTGTTTGACAAAAAGAAAAAGTCTACTTGTTAATGATTCTAATACCTTTTTAAATAATTTTGTATCTTAGGCCTTCCTAGACCATTAAGGTTGCATTTGGTACATGGGACGGGACATGACAGGACAAGACATAACTCATTGTCCCACATTTCGTGCAACATGGGACAGAATAAGAACTCACTGTCCTACGTTTGGCGTGACATGGGACATGGACAAGAACTGGGACAAGGTGGGACAACATGAGATAAAATAGGTTTTTTTCTTGTTCCACCAAAATAGGTGGAACAAGATGGGACAAGAATGAGAAGGAAATTAAAATATTATTAATCTACCCTAGTTTGATATAAAATCTTAGTATGATATTTGTTTTAAAAGTCATTACCGTTAGTTTCGGCCACCGCCACCATCAGCGACCACCTCCACCCCCATCTCCACTTCCACTACAACAACATCCTCCATAGCCACCTCTACTGTTGTCAACCACCGACCACCATCGTCCATTGCCACCACCACTACAGCCGTTCGCCACCTCTAACTCCTCCTCTACTACAACAACCTCCACAACCACCGTCGACCATCGACTACCACCGTCCATTGTCACCTTTACAACCACCATCGGCCACCGACCACCACCACCCATTACCACCGACACTACTATCGTTCGCCACCTCCAACTCCTCCTATACCGCAACAACCTCTTCCACAACCACCGACCACCACTGTCCATTGCCACATCTACAACCACCATTGCCCACCTACCACCACCGTCCATTGCCACCACCACTACCACCATTGGCCACCTCCAACTCCTCCTCCACGACCTCGACAACCACCGTTGACCATCGACCACCATTGTCCATTGCCATTTCACCTCCATCATAACTACCACCCACTATGTTCACTACATCATCCACAATTACCTCGTCTATCGTTGTCAACCGCCAGCACCACAATCCAACATCTTCACGTTCTCTATAACCACTGTCGTCCACCAATCACCATTGCCTCTACCTCCATAACCATCGTTAGCCACCAACTACCACCGCCCATCGCCACTACTACCATTGGCCACCACTACCTCCACCATAATCAAAACCACCTCCACCATCACTACTACTACCATCAATTATATCAAAATTTTCATTCAAATTTGGTACAATTATATATGTATGTATTCATTTATATGAAAATTGTATAAAAATATTTATAAATTAAATTAATTTATTGCTTACTTTATTTTTGTCCAGTTCAATCCCGTCCAGTCCTACCATCTTGTTTTGTCCAGTCCAGTTATGTTATGTCTGCGTACCAAATGCTACCTAAACACCCTAATTTTATTATGAAAAATTACCAAACAATGATATTTTATATTGCATTATATCATAAGAGTATCTTAATCATTTCATATCAAACCCATTTATCAATTGCCCAAAAAAAATTTACACTTAAAATTATTTAATATTGAACTCTTCTTTTTTTGAAAATTATTTAATATTGAACTCTTCTTTTTTTGAAGGACTAGAACGGTACTCGCATAATGCAGCGAGATACATCTCGATTTTAGTGTTTCGTTTTTTTTGTCTTAGTCGATGTTATAATACGGTTTTATATGGTTTTGAGAAAACAATAATGTTTTTATTTTTGTATAAAATATAAATATGAATAAATCATAAAAAATAAAAAAATACTGATATTAAATCAGACTAACTATTTAAAATTCCTCCTTTTTTTGTATTTCTTTAATTCATTTATTTATTTTTGGTTTAATAATATAACATTTTATAAAGATAATAATTAAGTATTCTGTTAGAACTCAATGATTATCCTAATTATATTTTAGATTTTTTGTATTTAAAATGAGATGTTTATCCTGTATTTGATTATGTTTATCTGTAGTTAGTTACACTAATTCAGATTTAGAGTTTTAATAAGTTGTACTTACACATAATCTACTTATAATCTTAAGTTTTAAGTAATATGCATTAATAAACAATACTTTACGCATAAAAAATGATTTTCAAGAATTTTTATCAAATACTTTATAATATAGTATATAGATAATATTAAATTCTTAAAAAGAAAAAAGAAAATTTAGCCGTGATAAGCGTCAAATAGCGAGCTAGGGTTTTCGAATAAACCCGGTATTTGTGCTAGGGTTTCCTTTCACTTCCCTCTTTGTTCATCTCGCCGCCATCACTTTCCCCTTATAAATACAGTCATTGAGGATCACCAATTTCAACACAAGCAGTTCTATTCTCCTCCAATGCTTTCTGTTTCTCACGAAGACGGTTAGTTCTAACCTCGATTTTACTTGTAATTTTGTGTTTCTCTTTCAATCGGGGGTAAACGAAAGAGCAGTGATGAGAACTTAGGAAAGTCATGCACCACTCTGATTCTCATAGTGATTGATAAACTTTCTCCATACCCATATTTTGTTTCTGAGCTCTTTGATTTCCCCAAAAATTTCAGTTTTTTTTGTTACAAAAGTTCAAACGACGGAAGTTTCGTTTTCGATTTTATCGTTTAATTTATGCAATTGATTCAATGATTTGGAGGAGGATCCAGATGATGGGATCTCTTTTTCGAGAGATCAAACCATGATGCGGACCGTACAGCTTTAATCAGCTTTTGGGGATAAATATTTGGTTTCTGATGGTTTCTCCTTCCATTGATTTATCAAAATTCTATTTTGAATTCTTTAGGCTTTTTCATTCAAAATACCTTCTATTTGAATCAAATTTTTAACTATCATCCATTGAATATGAAATGTACATCAATTTAATTGATGGTTTCTTAAGAAGGGATAAAAGTTGTTCACCTTCTCTTACAACCCAAAGTTGTATTAAGGTGAAGATTTGTTTACCGAACGCTTATAAGCGAATGTCATATATAAGCGTTGTGGTATGTAACAAACCCTCCGAAGATGAGGAGGGTGTGAGTTTATTTGTTAGATTTGTCGTATGTAAGCGTTGTTTATGGAACACTTTTTAGATATGAAAATTTGGTTGTTGATTGAATTGGAGAATGAAGTGATGATCAATAGATTCCCTATTGGTTTGATTGGCCAGAATGATGGCGAAATTCGTATTAGTCTATCTGATCATTCTTCTTTTAAATCTGATCTTATTTACTTTTTTTTTTGGTATTGTTTCAGTATTTTGAACATCTTGATGGAAGATTACTGAGCTCAACAGTTTTGTTAGGGTTTATGTTCCTTTAATTTTAAGCCGTTTTATGAGTTGTTTTTGACTTAAGATGTGATTTCTTCTGAAGTGAAGGAAAATTTAGAAATTGGAATAGAATATTTTCACAATGTATAAGCTCTATCCGATATTTCTCAATTTCATACCGTTTTTATTTTAAAGCTTTTGAGATATGAAGGTTCGTTTGTTGATTGAAGTCGAGAATGAGGTCTCGATTTCATAGTTGTATTCTAAGCGTTGGAAATAGGTTTGGATTAGACCAATTCAGAGTTATGTTGCAAGTTTGGGAAATAATCAATACCTGATGTAGTTTAGACTTCATTTGAATTCTTGTTTTCAGAGTCTGAGAGATACTTAGAGTTAAATTCAGAACTTGTAATTTTCCAAACTTTTATGTCTGAAAGATATCAGACTTAAATAGATTGTCATTTGATTATAAATATAAATTATGTGCATATGTTAGCCTACCTTTTGGCTTAGGTCATCGATCTTTCTTCTCATCCTTAAAGTAGGCATGTTAACGAGTCGAGTTCAACTTTTGAGCTCTGCTTGAGAATATAATGTTGAGCTCGAACTTCTTTCAAATTGTGTTCATGATAGTTAAGATCATAATTTCTGCAGTTGCCCTCTATCAGAAAGTATACATTTAGAGTTAGCACCTGCATCTAGCATATTCTGGTAATCTTGTTATATACAAAGACATCCCTACAAAGACATGCAAGTATGAGTTTAAAAGCGCATATGAGCAGAAGCTCCCTTTGTAGATCAAATACAATGACAGGTAAGTATTATATGATAAACAATTTGTGAGTGGTTAATCATGTCACTATCTAACATTACTTCTATCTTGAACTAGTGGTTTTGAGTTTGAAAATTTCACCCCTTGCAACAAAGTTAAGGACTTGAAGTAGTGATTGCATAATAGCCTAAGGAATTTGTGTGTGGTAATCAGAAACATGATAAATAAAAACCTTTAACCAATAAAATCATAAACAGGAATGAAAACAACTATATGATCAAACAAAACGGTTGTATCGATGGTTTCAACTGATTAAGTAATCGATGGATTAACAAGTGCACTGACTAAGAAATGCATTGATGAACTGATTAAGAAATCAATATAAATGGATGAAATAGTGAGAGATGCAATTGATGCGAGATGTACCTAAAGATTTGATGGTCGATTTCTCTTGAAGAGCAGCGTGAGAAAGGGCAATCATGGAAAATAAGACTCATTTAGCGTTAGGAGTCAACACTACGATTGATATCGTATGCAACAATTTACCTGATAAACACATATCCGGGTAAGAGTCTTTACCCTCACTTACTGAGTAAGAAAGACTTTCGATCTTTATCATTGCTCTTACCAGATAAGATTTTTGACCCTTGTCATGTTCATCCGGTAAAGAAAATTACCCGATAAGCACTTACCAGGTAAGCGTATAGTAAACGGCCCCTTAGATGAAAAAATTGGTGAGAGGTTATTAGAATCATTAAGATGTATGGTTTTTTTAACCAAACAAAATTATCTCTTAGCAATTTTGAGATTTACTTTTAATAAAACCATTAAGCGGCAGACAAACAAAGCCTGAGTAATTTCTTGCTAAATCTAGTTTTTTCATTCTCATTGTTTTTTTTATTAACTTGGATATCAAACCTAGGCATGGTAACGGGGCGGGGATGGGGCGGGTTTTGTAATCCTCGGACCCGGCCCTGGTTTGTAATACCGGCCCCGGTCCCCGGCGGGTACGGAGATTATCATTTCGTCCCCGGTCAAATTCTAGCAATCCCCGGTCAAAACCCGGTAAACCCCGGTCAATCCCCGGTAAAAAGTATGCTTTAGTTTGATTATACCGGGGATCTCCGGCCCCGACCCCGGCCCCCGTTTTGAGTAACATTCCCTGTCCCCGGTTTGAGTCTACTGGGGATCCCCGGCCCTGGGACCCGTTTTAGCGGAGAATCCCCGTCCCCGTTCGGGTCGGGTGAACCGGGTTCCCCACCGGGTCGGGGCAAATCACCATCCCTAATCAAACCCGCTATGCGAGCCGACTAATCCCAGGTTGACCACCTTTTTGCAGATAGCCTAGAGTCATCGCATTTTTATTTCTCTTCGGATTTGAATTTGAGACCTCCTGGTACTTTTAACCTTTGGAGACAAGCTCAAACCAATCAAACATGTTTCCAAATTGTTTGTAAATTAACAAGCAACTTTCTTAATATATTTTTTATCAAACAAATATTAAAATATTTTACCTTTTTGTTTTTATTGATTAATTTTAAAAAAAGCAAGTTCAATTTATTATAGTGAAATTAAAATACAAATTCATAAAATTAGTATTAAATAATGTAAAATGTTTTAAGTAACTTTTGCCTAAACTTGTGTTATTAATTATCTTTATGAACTTAAAAACGTTCTAACCTTGATTTTACTTGTAATTTTATGTTTCTCACGAAGACAGTTAATTCTAACCTCGATTTTAATTGTAAATTTATGCTTCTCTTTGAATTGGGGGTAAACGAAAGAGCAGTGATGAGAACTTAGGAAAGTCATGCACCACTCTGATTCTCATATTGATTGATAAACTTTCTCCATACCCATATTTTGTTTCTGAGCTCTTTGATTTCCCCAAAAAATTACAGTTTCTTTTGCAAAAGTTCAATTGACAGAAGTTTTGTTTTCGATTTTATCGTTTAATTTATGCAATTGATTCAATGATTTGAGAGGAGGAGGATCCAGATGATGCGATCTCTTTTTCGAGAGATCAAACCATGATGCGGACCGTACAGCTTTAATCAGCTTTTGGGGATAAATATTTGGTTTCTGATGGTTTCTCCTTCCATTGATTCATCCAAATTATATTTTGAATTCTTTAGCTTCTCCTTCCATTGATTCATCCAAATTATATTTTGAATTCTTTAGCTTCTCCTTCCATTGATTCATCCAAATTATATTTTGAATTCTTTAGCCTTTATTCATTCAAAATACCTTCTATTTGAATCAAATTTTCAACTATCGTCCATTGAATATGAAATGTACATCAATTTAATTGATGGTTTTTTCTTATGAAGGTTTAAAATGTTGTTCACATTTTCTTACAACCCAAAGTTAACTTGTCTTTAAACATAAGATTCGTTTACCAAACACACCACTTTTACTTGCTTTTGTGGGGGTGATATATTATCGGTCATCAAAATGGAATAATGGTAAATGTTTATAAATGGGTAAAAAATTTCTCTAAAACTCTTTTATCTTGTAAGGTAATTGAACCGGTATCGTAGTCTTTGGCCTTCTAGGATTTTAGGTGTTCAAACTTCACAAAGGTGAGAAGGGTGAGAGTTTATTTGTTACATTTGTGTATATAATTATTATATACTTTAAAAAAAATATTGAATTGTTAAGTATTTACCAACCTTTAAATCTAAAGGGACTGAACTTGTAATTAAGGTATACTTGTGTACCAATTGTGCAATATATGAAACTTATATATGGATCTTGGGTCTATAAAACCAACCCGTCTTTTAGGGTTTTATACATAAGGGCATGTCTCTTTTATTCATCGCTGCATGTTCTTAGTGTAAATGGAGGCTGAAGATGAATTTAATTGTATTTTTGTTTTTATTCATTGTTCATTGATTCGAAGCTATCGATAGCTATGAATCATGGAACGATAGGTAATGCTTTCAACAATAATTGTTTTGTTTTTGTTTTTTGAATCATTTTTGAGATTGAAATTAGGATCAAATTTTTGGTTGACCGTCGATATGATGGCAACAATGTATTAGCTCTATCAGATCTCTCTAGATTTAATACTGCTTCTATCAGATCTCTCTAGATTTAATACCGTGATGAAATCGAGTGTTTTTTTAAAGCTTATTAGATATAAAAATTTGGTTGTTGATTGAATTGGAGAATGAAGTGATGATCAATAGATTCCCTATTGGTTTGATTGGCTAGAATGATGGCAAAATTCGTATTAGTCTATCTGATCATTCTTCTTTCAAATTTGATTTTACTTACTTTTTCTCTGGTATTGTTTTAGTATTTTGAATTTCTTGATGGAAGATTATTGAGCTCAACAATTTTGTTAGGGTTTATGTTCCTTTAATTTTAAGCAGTTTTATGGGTTGTTTTTGACTTTAGATGTGATTTCTCCTGAACTGGAAAACGTAGAATTTGGAATAGAATATTTTCACAATGTATTAGCTCTATCTGATCTTTCTCGATTTCATACTGGTTATTGGGTTTTTATTTTCAAGCTTTTGAGATTTGAAGATCTGTTTGTTGATTGAAGCGGAGGAATAGTTGTATTCTAAGTCAGGGAAGTAACTATGAAAATAAGTTTGAACCAGAACAATTCAGAGTTATGTTGTAAGTATTGGAAATAACCAATACGTGATGTAGTTTAGACTTCATTTGAATTCCTTTATTTAGACTTACAAGTCTGAAAGACACTTCAGAGTTAAAGTCAGACTTGCAACTTTGAATTTTCTAGACTTTTATGTCTGAAAAAGTCTGTAGAGATCAGACTTGTAAATTTGAGAAATGGAAATCCAGACTTTTGCTTATTTAAATCTTTGAAAAGAAATCCCTTTTAATTTGGAAATTAGTTATGTTTATAGGGACATATGTCAATTAAATAGGCCATTTGAACCAGTAATGTAAATTGTGTCTGCATACATGCCTAGGCGTAAAATCCTTATAACCGTCGCACAATAAGACGACATGTGGCTTTCAAGTTACTTATTTATTAGTTGTATAGATTATATATTAGTGGTAAGTTACTTATTTATTAGATGTATAGATTATATATTAGTGGTGGTTGAAAGAGATGAGTTAAGCCTAATCTAATTTCAATTCTTTTAACTGGCTGTTTGGTGGGTTGATAGTTTGGCCGTTTGTCAAACTGTGTTTAATCTTAGCTGCTATCTTGAGCAAAATCCGGAATTTTGTCTCACGACATCTCCATCGAACATAACAAGAATATTAAATGTTACAGCTTAATCATTGTAACGAAGGTAGCATCCTTATCGGAAATGTTTGATGCTTCTTGGGGCTTCTTTGGCGACCGTGAAGTCACCGGATGAATTGTCGAGTTGATAGATCAGATCCGGACGTGGCTATTGCTTCGTGGCGATACGAACTCGACTCGCTCCTACCCACCCTGGGGTACCATAGCATGTTCGGAATAAGGGGGG